TATGAAACGCTTGTTGTTACATGTTAAAGCTTACATTCCGTAAAAGTAGTTCGAATCGATGTTATGACGTATTGAAAAAAAAAATATTTAGTAAAAAAATCATCAGAATTCAAAATATTGTATACATTTATAAAGGTTTTATAGAATTTAGCGTAACTATAGATGTACAATTTAGCTTGTTGTTATAGATGTTAGACAGTTTAATGTTCATACAAAACAATTAGTTGCAACAACAAAGAAATAAGGTCTGTTGGAAAAAACAATTTCACTTGAAAAATAAATCCTTTAAACTGAGCTTTGAGAAACCGATTTTAGTGGAAAAAAAATGTCAAAGATTAACATAATTGTTAAGATATGTATAATTAAATAGTTTATAGTGGTAAATTGTTAATGAATTGCTAGTTACATCGATATATATTTATTATTTACAAGCTTCTGCCCGCGACTTCGTACGCGTACCATCCCATTTTTTCCCGTCCCCGTTCGTGATTTTTGGAAAAAAGTAAAAAAAAAATTGGTTAAAAAGTATCCTATGTCGGTCTCCTGGCTCTAAGCTACCTCCCTACCAATTTTAAGCCAAATCTATTCTGCCGTTCTTGAGTTATGAGTGGTGTAACTAACACGACTTTCTTTTATATATATATATAGATTTAAGTTTATGCACAAAATGTACATAAGGTGGACTTAATGCCGCAGGCATTTTCTCCCAGTCTGACCTTTGGGTGATACACAGAAGAGTTAATGGTGTAAGCAAGAAGCAAGCAACGATTTAATAGAGCAAATAAAATAGATACACTTATACATTTCATAGATAAACATAAATAAACATAATTATAATACCTACACACGAGTACAACACAATATACATACATGCATTCATACATATATATGGAAAACAATTTGTAAATAGAATTACAAAATATATCATGTTTTAAAAATCTGAGTGCCTAGAGAAATACTAGCTCAGAATTGATTGAATTTCTACAATCGTTACACTAAAACACGTAACATTACCGAAGCTCAAACCTTTAACAGTAATATCACTACATAGTATAAAACAAAGTCGCTATCTGCCGTCTGTCTGTCCCTATGTATGCTTAGATCCTTAAAACTATGCAATGGATTTTGATTCGTTTTTTTTTAATAGATAGAGTAATTAACGAAGGTTTATACATGTAATACATGCATATTGCACCCGTGCGAAGCCGGGGCGGGTCGCTAGTGAAATTATATATTATCCATATCGATAGGCACTTCCCTTTAGTTAGACAAATGACATCTGAGAGAAATGACATTAGTCGAACGATTGTCTAAAAATATTAGTGTATAGGCTTGACATATGTTTTGACATAATTTGTTGAATGTCAGTGTCAATCCCATACATACAATTATTAATTAATTTTCTCGATTAACTAGAGCGTATAATTAAGCAATGGCTTAAGGAGGGACTTCATGATGTAGTTCTAAAAAGTAATCGTAGGAAAACATTACTTTCAAAATAAATATCGATGTAACTAACTGAAAATGTTGGATATAGTGATGTGACACTTACGATTCCGCTGTCAAAATATGAGCAGAAAAAAAAGCAATCCGTCAAAAATTTTTGACAGTTCAATAAATTCAATAGAAAAAAAGTATCTAATAATAATAGTTAAACGTCTGTCTGTTCATTGGAATAGGTAGTTTAATAGCTGAAAACTATATATTTTTTACTCTCATGTTTATGCAATGATAAATGTCTATTTTAATGGATAAGTAACTTGGTGACGCTTTTTAAATTATTTTTGCTAAGCATTTTTATAAAGTTGTGTTAATTTTATCTAAATGTATGCTGACGCTTTATAAATTAGGTGTCGACTCCTATTTCTCGACTCAAAATGCTACTTCAAATGACCAAATTCAGCACTCAGTGCTCCCAAAAAATCCAAACTAAAACTAAAATTTCATAAAATGTCGAAAATTCTCGAGAATTAGGACAACGGTTAAGTTCAGCTCTAAAACAAGCATATCCAGGTAATGGTAGGAAAGTAAAAATTAAAAAAATATTGTAAGTATAAAAGAAAGGTCAAAATGAGAGGAATTATTCTAATAAATGTACATAAAAATAGGAAAAAATGTATTGATTGTCGTCATGCAAAGTTTGAGCTAAAAATCGAAGAGTATTTCATTAAAATTTACATTAAAAAAATATTTAATCATAAAATAAATAAATATTTTTGCATCTTCCGATTACTACCTCTTTTCGCTTAATAAAATCATATTTTTAATGTTATGTAGCTACTATTTCAACTCTAATAAAATAAATATGAAAATGTATTTTTCCATAAATAAAATACTGCTATTATTATTTTCTTTTTCTTGAATAAACCAGTTTATGATTCATAAAATAAATTTTCATCTAAATTGAAATGTTTGGTTTCATATGACTGGTTTTTTCATTAATTATTGTATAGCTTTTTATTTTAAATTATTGTGATGTACAATTTATAACATATCAATCATTTTAATTTCTAAAGCCTTCAAGGAATATATATTTTGGTGAGATTTTCTTAATAACACTATGTAGATTATATAACACGACGCACATAGATTATTTTTTAACTATATACAGAAATATCTGAAATCACAAACCTTCTTCTCGAACTATGACACAAATAAATTGCATTTTCTGCTTTTTTCGTTAACTTGTTAGAAAAAAATATTTAAAGAATTAACGAAATATATATATTGCAGAATAATGCGAATCGAGATTGCAAAAGAACGATTTTTTTCAATAGATTTTTTTTAACAATAATGAATAATTTTCGCAATTGTTAAATCATATAACATTTAATATAAATCGATGTTGTCATATAATTGCCAATAATAGTATTGTGGTTTATACTGCAGATGTATTTGTAATATTATATACAGCTTAATGTCGGTCGCAATGTTTGTCGTGAGGCTTCGGGTTACGTTCGGTAAAAATCGGCTCAACCGATATATATAACTTTGTAACCGCAATCTGTGTCTATCTTGTGCAATATTAATGTTATAAAATTAGGAAAAATGTGATTTTAAAAATATAGTTGATTATATTTTATCGTATAGTAAAAAAATAATGTTTTAAAAATTACATGTAATATCATGATGTATGTTAAGAAAATGAATGTTTAGATTAGATGAAAGTTAAAAATGTGTATTAATAGACTGTTAATTTTAAATCATAAGGATGTATTCGCTTTTAAAAAAATGTGTTTGTTAATTTAAATTTTTCATTGCATAGATGTTACTGTTGTGTATTTTATGGATTATTATTATTATGTTAATGATTAATTAAGGTTTTTAGGTGTACGGTTCATTAAAATTTATTATATTATACAGTTACACGTATTATAAAGTGTTGACAATCATTAATGTATTGTGTATTTATTAATTGTAATTAAATTCATTATTCCCGAATAAAATATTGAGTTAATTACTTGTGGTTACTTATTTTTAATCATATATCAGCCACAGGACGTCGACGGCTGAACATAGGCCTCCCCCAATGACTTCCAGATATGTCGGTCGGAAGCGACTTGCATCCAGCGGTTCCCTGCGACCTTGATCAGGTCTGTCCACCTTGTGGATGGACGTCCTACGCTGCGCTTGCCTCCACTTGAGATCCTTTTTTAATAAGTATTGGTTACTCGATAATTATATACTACAATTTTTAACTGTGCATGAATACTTTACCTACTATTGAACTGAAATAAAACTAAAAATATTGCTATTCAATCAATATAATTATTGTATCCAAGTACTTATTGCTTTTTATTAATCACATAACATCACGCCTTTTATCCCCGAAGGGGTAGGCAGAAGTGCACATTATACCACTGTACAATGTAACACCCACTTTTCACTATTTATGTTATGAGTCCCATGTAATAGGGGGTGAGCTTATTGCCATATACCGGGCACAATCCCAGACTCAATGCTACTACTGAGGTTTTTCAAAACCCAGTAATACTTTGCCCGACCCGGGAATCGAACCCGACACCCCTTGCCCGGCAGTCGCACTTGCGACCACTCGGCCAACGAGGCAGTTTTATTAATCAGTGTAGCAAAAAATTCTAAAGGTCCAAGTCCAATCAAAGAACAGGGAAAAATAAAACACACAATATAGAAATTTTGTATTTTTTATTGAATAACTTTTCTATTTATATTTTTATGTTATCAATATCACAAAACATTATAATTAGGGTAGGTATTCAAGTAAAAAAAGCCGATGATATTAAACTTCTAAAAAAAACAAAACACGCATCGGGAAAACTTACAAAAAATAAACACGTTACAATTTTTTGTCATGTATATTAAATTTTTGAAATTATATTCTTTATTTTTTGTATTGTATTTTATTTTTATGAAATATTTTTTTTTGTGTATTTTATTTTCTCTAAATTTTCCCAGCTACGCAAATCACAATCATAAGTCATGGTTTCAGTGTGAATACACTTCCTACTGTCGACAATGACTAAACCGGCCGTTATCAGATTTATTTGTTAAGTTAATAAAGAGCAGGAAATAAAAGAATACTTTTGAACTCATTCGTAACTCGGCCACATCAAAAACTGTGCTTACTAACCACGAAAATATGTTCCGCACGACTGTGTAACTAGAACTGATAAAAATCATAGGTTTTTTAGTCAGATTTTTACCGTCAAGGCAAGATAAAAGTAGCAAAAAATTACAATGAAAATTAAAATATCGTGGTCAAAACTTATTCCAGTCAGACAGAACATTATAAAATTTGGTATAAGTATTAAAGGAATATTTTTGAGACCAATTTTTCTTCATACGTTTGTTAAAAAAACGTATTACCGGGCATTTTACTTTCCCATCACTGTTAGAACAGCCAGCCAATGAGAATCCAGCGTTTGAGTTATCGCGTGATATCCGACCAATCACGTTTGCATTATGGTAGCAGACTTTAGTGTTGTTTATAGGTGTAAAATGCCCTAGCTTCTGTTGACTTCTTAAGCTTTCTTCTCTTCTTCTTTCTTCTCAGCTTCTGGGGGAGGGGTGGGGAGTTCAGGGTACTCCAACTTCACGCCATCCTCGCAAGTGAAGATAGGACAGCAGCCGGGGAAGGGCGCGGTCTTGTTGGTCTTCTCTGAAAATTGAGACAAATGTTATTTAGTTACGAAATTAAAACGCATTCATTAACTATTGCAGTTAGGATGTGAGTTAGGAACAATAAAATCTAGTGTAGCTATGAGATTTGACGTATGTCGTATTGATTATGTACTCAATCTCTCAAATACTCTCAATACTCATAATTGTTATCATATTCGAGCTTACCCTAATAAACAGAACTTGAAATGTAGCTAATGACAATGGACTTGTTTTATGTAATAACCAAAAAGTGAGTGAATTTTTTCTTAAAACACTGACAATAATTTGAAAGAATGCAAAAATTGTTGCTGATTTAACTGTTTTCAACATACCTGTGTCCAACTTGCACTTGGGGTTAGCCAGAGGCAGAGGTCCACAGTCCTCAACGAGCTCCAGAAGCCTGGGTGGCTGGTCCTCGCTGACGTAGCAGGTGCTGCGTCCACAGAAGGGAGCCAGGTCCCAGGTGTTGCCAGGCTCGACAGTCGCGCAACGTGTTGAAGCGAAGCACATTCCAGGGAAGTCTGGAAAGATGAAAGGGATTTTGTTGAGTTTTATGCTTGAAAGAAATTTTTTTGGCTTAGTGTGTAATATAATTATTGTATCGTTTTTTAATTTGGTTGAGTGAGTAGTAATTATTTAAATTATTAAACTGTCAAACACGGGGACACCGATGACCGCAACATATTGTTCTTTAATTGTGTCAATAATGACGGTACTCAAAGGGTTAATGATGTTATTAACAGAAACCTGCTTGTACTCTTTTTAGCTAATGTGGTTTTTTCAAATTCAGCCAGAAGCCAGTAGCGAATAATAGTTAAAATAATTTATTTATATTGTATTTGTCAAAATACTCAAAAAATTAAGTATACACTCAATTTTGCACTAGTATTGCCGTCATGTTTTACTTAAGTTATGTATAAAGCAAACAAACGCCTACATAACTATGACATTGTTGGTTTTTATTGACTATATTCAATACTGACTCAGGTATTACGCAAAGAGCAAACAAAAATAAAACCAATATTGGTTTTGAACCGCACACACGACGAGTAAGAGTTCACTTTCTAACATTTGCACTAGAAAGCTATGTTTTCTAATTGTAGATGTATCTACTGTTATTGCTAGTAATAAATTAAGATTTCTACATTTCTACGATAATGGTGTGATACCCTCGAAAGCACTCATCAGTTGACTGGACATCTACACTACATGAGCTGCTGTTTACATGTGAACATTAGCTCATGACGATACCCAAGTACGTGTGTCGCCTGGACAGTCAACCTCGCTACATCCTTGTTGACTGGACATCTACACTACATGAGCTGATGTTTCATCATCATCAACCATCAACAGCTCATTACAGTTTACTGTTAAACTATGGGGTCTTTTCCATGTGAAGAAGTTTTCCTCCACGTTTGGTTTGAAGATCGCGATTTAAAAGATAAATGAAGGAGCATGCGTTATGATCTGTTACATGTGTAGCTCCTAAGTCGGCTCTTACGACACTCGCGACTATACTAGGGGTGGTTACAAATACATTTGCTACTTTTACTGCTGCATGAGAATATTAGCTAATTGCTGACAAAAATTCTGTTCACACTAAACAATGAATTTGTGACACAACTGTCAATTGTTTTTTAAAATTCACATACACATGTCAAAATGCTATACAATGGTGCAATTTGACAGAAATTCGTATGTATACGTATGTGGATCATGGACAGAGAAGAATGGGCTCTATTGTGTAGCGGTAAAAGGTGATTATAGTAGTTGCCTTTGTTCATTGTATCCTGGTATATTAGGAAAATTCTTTTTTAGGATTTTTTTTATTGTGTGGGTCATTATAATGGATTGACTGTACCCATAAGTTTCGTAACGCACAAATATCCAGTGACGGCTTACCCCTTATTACATAGGCCTCATAACATAACGGATCAAAACTGAGTGTTACTTAACATCTGCGGAAGACCAAGCGGGCTACCCTGGCTCCGACTCGAAGAAGACAGGAGTAAGAACAGGGTGTTGTTTAGTCAGTAAGAGTCTGACACTCTCGTCTCACTTATGGCGGGCGAGGTCATTGGATATTTTTCCCTTCTCAAAAAAAACAAGTATTTGTGCACCTCTGTGAAACTGATAAGTTACGCTGCCTTGTTTAATACAACACTTATCGCTAGTATAATTTATTAGCATTATGTAATAGAAAACGAGAAAACAACATATTTATATCTACCAAAAACTGGGAATTTAAAATAGACTCAAGACTAGACAGTTTTAGGTCATCCTAGTTGGTATGAGTTAAATACTAAAAAACGGGAACTACGTATTTCCTTATTAAGAGTTCCGAGACACTCAAATTTTCGTGAACACGTAATAAATTGGTATAATGACTCAGTACTTAACTATTACTGTTTGTTCATACTAACTTTAGAACAGGCTTTGTAGTTCGGAGCATCGAATAAAGTATAATTATATACTTATTTTGGTGGGTTGGGTTGTTTTATTTAATTGGGTTTTTCTTTTTATGATGCCACTGGCTTAGGATGCATTGGGATCGCTTATTAGTATCATTGCAGTTTTTCAGTACCCATTTCTCAGTAATAATAGCACAAAGTCTAACTGATTTATGGAAATTCGATCATGTATCAACAGCAATCACCCATTGCTGAGCAAAGACGTCTTCTCACACGGATAAGGAATGAGCATTAATCACCACCTTTGTTCAAAGCGGATTAGCAATTTCAAACTATAAGTCCAGGTTTCCTCTCGATATTTTCCTTCACCGTATATCGGTGGTATCGAAATAATCCTAGATGACAGTCAACATTATTAGCAGAAATAAATTTGCAAATTCAATGACAAGTAACTTCTATTATTAGCTTTGAGCACTTCTGTTCACACCTTTTGTGCTTTGTAATCGTGAGGTAAGGCTTTATTTAATAGTGAGCTTGAATCTAAGGCGGAAGGCATTATGAGCTGAAAGTGAAAGCAACTCATGAATCTAGATTATTCTATCGAGGACAGACTAGGGTTACCACGGCTCAAAACTTGGTCTAATAATATGAACACAATATCATAAAATAATAATAAATAAACAATACTTGAATAATTTTTATGAAATAAAACTTGTAAAAATAATTTATGAAATATTTTTTTGTGTCATAAATTATTTTTGTCACTACATGTACCTACCAATTTTTTTTTTCTTATTTTCACAAAATAAATTAATGTGTTGTTAGTTTATGTGTTTGTTTGTCCGTTTAATCTTACAAAATAAAAGCTTTATGTAATATTGTCTCTTGTTTATTATTCAGTTCGCAACGATGACAAATCGTTACCTTTCTCGTGGCAACCGTTTTGTGCGAGTTAATTCAATGGATGAACTTTTGCAATCGCTGGTTGCGTAAGCCGAGTTACTGCATACGAAGTATCCTTTTTTGATCAGTCTGTCTGTTTTAATAATCGTACATTGCATGAGTAATGCGTTCGGACTAGATTAAGAACGTTTTTTGTTGTTGTTGGTTAAGTCTTTGAGTACCGTCATTATAGACACAATTAAAGAACAATAGGTTGCGGTCACCGGTGTCCTAGCGGTGTTTGACAGTTTAAATGTAAAGAAAAAATAAATAAATACAAGTTGAATTATTTCAAGTATTAGTCATACTTAGAAATTGCAATGTTTTATTATTGAACTATGCATTTGCACATTATGCGCTCATCTTAAAACACGTTAATGTGCAATAAAAAATAATGTGTTTTATTTAAAATTTACATTCTATTTACGTATCTATTACGTTGTATAAATTTCTAGATTTCAACCTAAGACTGCCTATTCTTTTTAAATTAGGTACACGTCATCACCATCATCATCATCATCAACAGCCCGTAGCCTATTACTATCCAGTGGACGTCTTCTACGTAAGAGACATTTGCCTTAATCGCCACACTTGGCGAATACATTGGACATCGTAGATTAAAAGGTTCAAGTATTTTTTTAATGGTACAAACCCGTCACAACCTCCCAAAACCGCTGCAACTCCTGAACACCAGGATCTACAGTAGATATAACCATGAAAACACCGGAACACCGAAGTCCGGTGCAAGGTTCAAGTATATCAGAGAGGTTTGTTACCCGGTTCCAATCCAATAATTACTACTATCAGTAACGTAATCAATCTTGAATAATTCAGGATATCCGACCACCATTACATAAACACGATTTCCTCATTTTACCCAACCGGTAGAAGTATAGGAAAGTATTTGAATGCGACAATGGATTTTAAATGCCATGGTACATCGGATGCATTTCCTAGGTGAAAGTATAGACGTTGGTTTTAGCTGGTCACGTGGAACCCATAGAATGCCAGCCACTGCTGAACTATAGGTCTCCTCTACATATTTTTTATTGACAGATACAAGGCAGACATATGTATCGTCGGAATACTGAAACGCTACTCAATTTTAAGTCGTGCTTAAGTATAGTTCTATCTCTACAAATTCTTTGTAAAATGACAGAGATGGAGATGGACGATATTTGAACACGACTTAAAATTGAGTAACGTTTCAGTATTCCAGCAATAGTCTCTTGAAACAACGACTGTAGCACCTGACTACTATAGACTTAAACGCAGAATATATACATGATATGTCCTGTCATTAGACTTCATACATTACGGTGTTTGTCACATAAATACACAACTGACATTTTGATGCTTCAACCATTTCTTCACGTCCTTGAACACAAAGTAATTTTGATTTTCTTTTGTGATAGCAACTGAGACGGGCATAATTAATTGATTAATGGATTATGCAAAAATCTGACAGTCGTTTGACATCTGTCATAGCTCGCAAAAACAAAATGTCACTTGAAATGACGTTATTTCCTGCATTTGACAGGACTACCGCCTTTGCAACTGACCTTGCACGAATTTAATTATTAGCAAAAAATTGTATGCAACATTGTAACTTGATATTCTTGAATACCAAATTAGGATACATGTTTTATGATCCATTAAAAATACGCGATCCATTTTATATGTATTGCATGAAAAACTACCGGACTCTCAAATCTTAACTTAAAAAAAAAATTTAACACATTAAACGCCATGGGGATCACCGGTGACCGGCGTTAGCGGAGGATTTACCTTCAACAGTTTTTTGATTGGCAGTCAAAGTCTTAACCATATTAATTTCAAATCTAAAAGCTGAACTATAATTAACATCAAACATTGAATAACAAAAAGATTATTACAAATAGTCTTCAATGAAGCAAACTACACCTAAATGTCAGTGATTGTAACACTACAAAATGTTAAACATAATAAAGATTAAATTTAATTGTCTTGACATTTGTAGTCAGATTAATAAATCATAAGACACAGTTTGTCGAAATAAATTGGATTAACATTTTGAAATAAATTTTTAATTTTGTATTAAAACGAGTTGATGAATTAATCTATCGTTTACCTAGCAACAAACCAAGAGGATTTAGATAAAAAGTATGATTGTGTCTATAGAAGTCATT